TTTGACACCAATGAATCCGAGTCTCTCTTTTGCCCTTCAATACTTCACCTTTCCCATAACGTTTCCTCCTCCGTGCATACCCACATAGTCGGGCAATTGATAACACACTTACACACCTTTTGTAAGACTCATTGCCTCCTCTTCCTTATCGTCGAACACTCGTCATCGTATCTTCCAATTGCTTACACATACCCATTTGTTTTCCCATATACTTTTCGTCTCAACTTCGAGACCTCACTCTCGTGATGACATCACAATGCCATAACTAAAACGTTATGACGCACAATCCTACTTCCTCCTGATAGAGGGATGGCAGTGGGATAGCCGACCCCTCATTGGTCGCTATCCTACTACCATCCCACCATCATATCTTTGTACCCACGAACAATCACTCATACATACAATTTAACATATTCACGTCTCATGACTACACTAATAGACACTAGCCAACCCAATGCAACAACACTCGCACACACTAGCCAACCCAACGGACCAACACTAACCATAATGGTAACTTCTCCCGAACCCACGACCCAACCCCTTACTGCTCTACATTTCACATGATTGACTTTACGACCAGATACGTCTCTGTCTATCCATGAACGTTGTTAGATACATCTAAAACAAAGTGAGTGTGGATACTTATTGTTTTTTATTCCCTACAACAACCAATACACCTTACGACACATACGGAACTGATATAGTTTCACCCAATAAGAGTATACGCCTTAACCACTTACCTTCCATATTCCCGCCCCACGATATGTGATGGTCCATCTAGTCCCGTACGCAGTCATTCGCAATTCATTTGTCATGTATTTTCACTCTTTATAACATCTACGCATGTTCACTGCTTCTTGACATTATAATTTGAAAAGTTGGATAGACGAACAAACTCTCTCACCCGTCTAACTAACTTCTCGTTCGTGCTCCATAGTCAACATTGACTCAACGATAACTACCGATTATATACATGGATCTAAAACAGTCCGAATACATCATAAAAAAACAAACACGTATTCATCTTATACAATTATATATAATGTTCGGTACTACAAATATACCCAAGATGAGTCAATCGACGCAACATTATGTATGTGGGGTCGGAGACGGACCAAATACATTAAAAACAAAAGGCATACCCCGAAACCAGACAATCAACACAACTTCATGTATCTAAAGCGGAAAATGAACAAAATATATTTAAAACATGCACAAGTCATCGCCAACAATCGACTCAACGTTAGGACAAGTTATAAATACCATATTCGCATGAGTATGTATTGAAACTAGACGATCGATGCAACATTACATATCCTAAGTTAGAAACAGACCATATTCATCGCAGTGTCAACGAGTCGTAAATACTAGACCCTCATCATAATATGAAACGACCCCAAATTATTTAAAAAAAAAACTCTCCTTTTCACCTTTCAGCACCGGACAGGTGTCTGAAGTATTTATGGTTTTGTCTTTTGTTTTCGAACTCGCAACGAAGTTGCCTTGACTGGTGCCCCTCTTATGAGTCACAAATGAATTGTTTTATTTTTCTCTATTTTTTTATGTTTAACCTCCAATCTTTTTCTTCGAATTTTCTTTTTAAGCACTGATTCGGGAAAAAAATTAAAGACTATACTACAAGACCCCGTATGGGCTATACATCCTTCTTGTATTTATGCAGGATACGTTGCCAATACATTACATGTAATTCATGAATGAAGGTCATGAAGTGGGAGAGGCAGGATTCGAACGTACGTAGAAATATAACCTTCAACATATTTACAGTCTGTCTGCAGTCGTTGAAAAACAAAAATGTTATAAAAAAAATGAACCCCATTTAATCGTAAGGAAAACACGCATTCTAATGTATAATATCCAAAAAACATCCAAAGATACAGATAAGACATATCGATGCAACGTTATGTATCCGGAGCCGAAAACTAACCAAATAAATTAAATAAGGACCCCCCAGAAAAAAAAAACAAATTGACTGCCATAATAAATTTAAAAAAAATGACCTCCATCGTAATTATTAAAAAAAGCAAACATTCTAATATGCAAATCTAGAAAACGTGTGAATACATGATTAAGATACCATAACGTTCCAATTCTAATGTCTCCAACGTGCATGACATATTTCCACCAACGTGCTTAATATCCCTTTGGAACCTTTTGCTGCCTACACCGTTTTCGTTTGCCCCATTCCCTCCCGTTTCTAATCCTTCCTTCCTCTATTTGGGCCATATATAGTTAAACGATCCAATGCAAGTGATACGGTCAAAATGTTGTATCCTCCATAAATGCCTCACCATTCACCCCCCCAAAAAACTTCGACGCAATGTTGTATGATTTAACACAAACTTCCTCAATATAAAAAATGTATGAGAAACTAAAACGATGAGAAGACATGACAAGAGAAAAACATTTCCTCAAAGCGAAAAGTCTTGACGTCGTCCTGCAATAAGATTGGACAACCGCAATAATCTACCACCGGTCTTGTGTCCCCCAAAATGTTTGCACTGCTAATCTTACTGTTGACAACCACATCATCCTTCTCTCCTATTCTAAAACCCAAAACATCCCCACTTGTGCATCGTTGTATCGCATGACGTTAACCAAAATGGGAAGTTTAGCAAAACGACAAAACTCAACCGGGTAAGAAACAACCACCTGACTGCGAATACACAAAACGCTCTTACTGACACCGGTGTTGGCCAAAGACCATACTAATACCAGTCAGAGGTGTCAAGTGGACCATCACAACTGACTGGCACTAAGGGTCTCGCTCCACCACTATAGACTCTCGAAACTTCGAGAGTAACGCCTTGCTCCACTTACTCTAAATAGGTACTATCGAAAACACCCTTCGAGAGCTGTCAGAAAGCACTCTCGGAGGGAACTCGAAAAGGGTCTAGAGTTCCTAGCCTGCAACAAAATGTTTTTCTAGCATCCTCTCTTGTACCCCCTCTGCGGCTATTTTTTTTTCGAGAGTGCGCCTCATGTCCCGACAGTCAGAACATGTTGGCGTTGTCTTGTAGTGAGGTGGAAGCGCTCACGAAAATCGAGAGGGCTTCCAGAGTACACCCGTCTAGAGTAAGTTGAGCAAAGTCTTCATTTTCGTTTTGCACTTTTGACAGCTCTAGACGCACTCACCATTTTTTTTGTGATTCTAAAGTGGTGGAGCGAGACCCTAAGTGTGCCGCAGCCGGTCATGGGGCTTGAACCCACATCCTCCTGAGTGCCACTTGTGTGCCTAACCAACTGAGCTACGGGTAGGCCACTGATTTTTTTATTTTTATTTTAAGTGGGCCATATTGTTCTCTCAATTTCACCTTTCACTATCTGCTTACCACTACAGTAACTCCTAAGCCTATACAGGGGACCCCTGCAAGCATAGCGACCTCTCATCCTAATAGGCAGTGGTCAGGGAGTAGGGTGGGGCCGCCTGGGGGTAGGGGGGGGGGGAGCGGCTAAGCCAAGGACGGAGCATTTTGCCAGTAGCTGCGCCTCCCATGATTTGACCTACTTTCAAAGAAAAAAAAAGAAAAGGCTCCCTTTCTTCTTCTTCTTTTTCCTTTTTTTTTTAACACAGAAGAAGGCAGCCCATTGTGGCTTTGCCCTTTCTTCTTTGGGCAGCCTACTCTGCGTGCTTCTGTATTTGAAAGCCTGAAAAATTGGACATTGTGGACATTCTCCCAAAGGAGTAGTGGTAGGCAGATAGTGAAAGGTGAAATTGACAGAAAAAAAAGGGGGGGAAAACAAGAAAGACCTTAGCCTTCTATACGTTTCTCTACAGCTCAAGCCTGAAAAAAATCCAACGGAACTATCAACAGGAGGTCCCAATACGTATCGCAGAAGCGAGAGCTTGCCACGTGGATGCAATCGGGCTTCTCTCCGTTGTTACTCCCAAGTGATCTGAGATGTCAGAGAGCCTTGCATGCGCTATTTCCGTTTCCGATCTCTTCTGCGAGAGTCTCTAGATGGCGAAGAACGCCAGCTGCCCAGCTTACCCATAGGCATCACATCCGCTTCACAAATCTGGCAAAATTTCCAGATCCCGCGGATAGCCCTCACGGATTGAGGCAGATTTGACACACCCGTTATTAACCAGCGAACAGTGAGAGTCGGGGAGATGTCCCACTTGCGTGGATCCGCAGGTCCTGGCCGTCGATCGTGCTACCGGTAGTCTACGGCGGGGTGGCCGTCGATCGTGCTACCGGTATTCTACGGGGGGCTGGCCGACGATTGTGCTACCGGGAGTCTACGGCTAGAAGTGAAGAAATCGAGCAAGCTGGACCTCGCTTCCCCGGGATTTACCCCTTCCGCCGACTGGTCGGCGCTCCCTTCTTCTTTCTTTCCCTTTTCGGTGTCCGCCCACCGTTCAGGGAATATACACCCCTCACCAGTGGTGGAGGTTCCACTGTGTCGGAGATGATTGCTGCTTCTTTTTCTTTCCTTCATTTTTTTTCCAGATATCATGGTAAATTCGAGAACTTTGGGCGTCGCCACACCACTCTCGAAATGTGCAAATTGAGAATGAACTTACAGCTAGAACATGGCCAGATGCGCCCGCTACATTTTTGTCCTTTTCACATTTGTTTGGAGAGTGGTGCGGCGAGGCCCGGGGCTACCGTAGGTCCCACTTACACAAATTATGCGATTTTGACCGTAGATAGCAAAGTTCAACGGCCAGAATCTCTTAATCCGTGCAAGTGGGACCTTGCCCCCGAATTTAGGGCATCGCCACACCACTCTCAAAATGTGCAAAATGAGATTGAACTTCCCCCCAGAACATGGCCAGATGCGCCCGCCACATTTTTGTCGTTTTCACTTTTCGAGAGTGGTGTGGCGAGGCCCTTTATTCGTCTTGTTCCCATTGGATTTGAACTCTACTCTGAACCACCCCCACCCCACCCCACCCCACACAGCATCCCTACTCTGCATTTCAACAGAGCATGGGTGCACGGACTGTGAAGTAGGCGCATTTGGTTACCGAAGGGGGAGGGGCAAAGGGCACTCCTTTAGGGGCGTTCGTCTGGCGGCGTAGGTCCTACAGGAGGTGGTTTCGTAACGGAATCTAGCCTTGTATGCGGCTCGATACGTTTACATACGTTTACGTGTGCGCACGCTCGGCCTCCGGTCTGCAGGAGCGGAGGTCAGGCGCCAGCACAACGGTTCGCCCGCCCGCTTCCTCTTTCCCGTTTCCTTTGAGCTCGGCTTTCTTCTCGTTGCTTGTGCATGGGACTTCTCCGGCGAGTGCGATCACGGTCTTGCTTCGGCTTGCTCGCTTTGCGTTCTCATCTTCTTCATCATCGTCTTCATCATCTTCTTTATCATCTTCATTATCATCATCATCTTCATCATCATCAACATCATCATCAACATCATCATCGGCGTGTTGTGAAAACATCACCATTTGGTTATGTCGACGTTGTCATTTTGGTTACTTTGTGCTTGACGGAGCTCTTTGTGCCTCGACCGTGTACATTATCGTCCTTGGCTTTGCTGATGGAGGTAAGTCATCTTCCTCGGAGTCCTCCCCCTCGCCTCCTCCGCCTAAGGAAAACGCCCGTCTCTAAAACGTTGGTCACACAAACAAAAGAAGGCCCTTCGCCCCCTTTCTCCCTCCCCCTCCCTCTCTCTCTCTCTCTCTCTCTCTCTCTCTCTCTCTCTCTC